GATGGATGGATGGATGGATGGATGGATGGATGGATGGATGGATGGAAAGAGAAACCTGTGCAATATCTGCAGAGCAGAACTTGCCTTCCACAGCAATTATTTTTAGTTAGCATATAGCTAAAATCTAGAGATGGTTATATAATAGCAGCTGCATCTGACGTGATAAGCTGTATGTTTTTTATTCAATTAATGTATGATCCGATTAGTCGACTAATCGAATAAATAATCGGTGATTAATAGATTATTAAAATAATCGTTTGTGGCAGCCCTAGTACAAATGAAGCTTCATTCACAACAAAAATGTCTGTATTTTTTTTAGGGGTGTCCCGATCTGATATCGATATCTGGCATCTGTTTGATATTAGCCAAACAATGATTATCAGATTATATCGGCCTGCATCCAAAATATACAATATTAGCACTCCGATACGAGCAGTCCATTCCAATAGTCCGCTCAGGATTTCTATCCAGCAGAGCTCGGATCCAGCATAAATAACTTAAGTGACCTTGAATAGTTATTTTACACTTTAAAAGTATATTTTGTTTTTATTGGATTTATTGAGGTAATTTTTCGGGGTTTTCTATTTTGTTATTTATTGTATTTAATTGTGCAATATTCTTATGTTTAACTAAAAAAAATATATAAACCATTGGCTAATAATAAATGGGACCAGTCTCTCTAATACCTATAGTTGTTAACTATTGTTTACTGTTTGACTTCATCAAGGCTTTTTAAGATTCCACAGTACGAAAACATTAATAAAAGTATGAATGATATTGTATCGGGTCGATATTGGTCAGTACTCAAGGCTGCAATATTGGTATCATATTGGAAGTGGAAAAGTTGCATCAGGACACCCCTAGACTGTTTTTCAGTAAGTATTTTTCAGGAGTTTATACGTTGCAGTTCCTCTCGTATTCTTGTTGTGCTCTTCCTAAACCTCGAGTGATAACTGCATTAAGCATTGTTAATATTTGCCAAAGTTCCCTGAGTTGAAGTCTTTTCTTTTGTCACAGTTTTTGCTTATGGTGCTACTGGAGCAGGTAAAACTCATACCATGTTGGGCTCACAAAACGACCCGGGGGTCATGTATCGCACGATGAAAGATCTATTCAAGCGCATGGATGACGCTAAGGAGGAAAAAGAGTTTGCGGTTGCATTCTCTTATCTGGAAGTGAGTGGTCCAATATTTGTTTTCAATTTTTGAGTGCAGATCATGAATAGAACCTGATGGTTCTGGTTTTAATATAAGTTTCATACTTTGCTTAAAGGTTTCTCATTTCAGCACTTATTTATAACCCAAAATGTTTAATTCTCATAACTCATTTATGCATGTCCCTACTGTAATCTATATTTAATGACATTTRTGTTGAACCTGGCATCTCTTACTCGGCTTTTAATCTTGATTTTTTAGTCTTGAGGTCGATGCCTTTGTATCTGTTTACGGTTCTGTTTGCTGATCCTTCGCAGGTTTATAATGAACAGATCAGAGACCTGTTGGCTAATGTTGGGCCGCTTGCTGTCAGAGAGGACAGCACTAAAGGAGTGGTTGTTCAAGGCCTCACACTGCACACGGTTTGCAACTATTTCTTTTTATTGTATCTTAAAGATAAATGCTGAGACCTTTTTTTATTGTCGTTAATTAATTTATTTATTTTTGTGGTCTCATTCTCTAATGGTTTTGCAAAGCAGGATGAAGTATCTCTACAAGTTGGATAATACAGTAAATGAAAATTAAATAGCTTTCCTGTGCGCACAGCTATTTAAAGATGCCTTTCTTGTGTTTGGTATTAACCCAGGTGTTCTGTGTTCTGCTAAGTGTAAAAAAAACTGCTGTTCAGAAAACAATTTAGTCGTTTCCTTTTAACATATGAAATTTGATTTGAAGAAAATGTTTTGAACTGAAACTTAATTTATATACAGATTGAGTGTAGTTAGATGTTTACTTGCATAAACACAAACACTAGAATCTGTTAAAACATTTTTTTAACTTTTTTACTTTTTTTTTGTCCTGTTTGGATAACTAATACAAGTTAAATTTAGAGTTGCTGTCATAGTCTGTCACTTTAAGTGCAGTGGAACAGAATAATTTGATTATATCGTTATATTGTTTTATTTTTTATAAATGCAGCCGAAATCTGCAGACCACATCCTCGAGGCTTTAGATTCTGGCAATCGAAACAGGACACAGCATCCCACTGATATGAATGCCACCTCTTCACGATCCCATGCTGTATTCCAGGTATTTTAATCTTTTCTCTTTCTTCTTCTTCTAAAGTCCCAACAGAAAGCATTAATAAAAGGAGGGGGAAAAAGAGAAAACAGAGGTTCACCTATCCAGTTTAAAGAGATCTTTCATTTCTTCCAACATATTAAACAMTTTTATCTTTAAATTTTTTTGTACAGATATATTTAAGGCAGCAGGACAAAACTGCCAGCCTCAACCCCAATGTTCGTATCGCCAAAATGAGTCTGATTGACCTCGCTGGTTCAGAGCGAGCCAGCGCCACCAACGCCAAAGGAGCTCGACTTCGAGAGGGTGCTAATATCAATCGCTCTCTTCTCGCCCTGGGAAACGTTATCAATGCCCTGGCAGACCCAAAAGTGAGTTGCTGTCGCAAAAAATTTTGGTCTTCAGTATATTACAAATATTTTCAATAACTAAAGCTAAAAGTTTGTGTTTTTTGTTGCAGACAGTTTACTTTTTTAATTTCTCGTTTTGTTTAGTGCATCATCTGCATAAATGAAAAACGATACTTTCAAGATTGTTGAGGTTATGTGTATTTGAAATTAACCTCTTATACACAGAACCTGGTAAGGTGCAGGTCAACTYAGTATTTGGGTATAATTTCATTCCAGTTGCATACATTACCTGTCAAGCTTTCTTCTCGTTTTACACACCAAGTCTCAAGAGACAAGGTGCAAGCAAGCCGCCTGCATTTAGGAAGTGCTGGGCAAGCCACCATGTTGAAATCTGATCCATCTTCTACAGTCTGCCTCAGTCTTTGGGTTGAGAGTGTGTTCTTTCATCTGCATTGTCAAGTTGATATTTTACCCAGCCCACCATTTTTAAGCATTGCAGTCATAGCTGTCTTCACCTCAAAACAATAACAAGTTTCCCACCCAGTCCTAATGCCTATTGGTGCAGAGGAATTTATGTTGTGGTCAGTTTTAACTGGAAAGAATGTGTCCCCATTTGTGCCTAGACTGGCATGCCATTCGTTAGAGAGAAGAATGCCTGCTAACTTTTGTTGGGCCTGTTCAGTGTGTCATCTTCATGTCATGCTGCACCGAGTTGTTTGCCTTAGGCGGTGGCCATATTTATGCAGATGCACATGATGAAACGTTTGTTTTAAGCTTGTCCTTTAGTCAAGATCAATGTTTCCCACCCGTATAACATACGTAACAGTATTTATTACCTTTATCTTTATTTAGGGTCCCCATTAGTCTCTACCTCAGCAGAGACTATTCTTCCTGGGGCCCAACAACATAAAATACAAACACATTAAAACAAAACACAATTCAGAGAAACAACAAAATGAAAAAACAAATAAAAGATTAAATACAAATTTAAACGAAACGAGCCAGTTCAAAAACTCAAAAAAGAACAACATGAAGATCACGAAAACAAGATTCAGGATTGTGTTTTTGTAGCAATGGTAAAAATCACCCAAATTGGACTATTTGAATTTTGAAGAGGAAAAATATTTTTTTATTGTAAATTTGTGGAATCATTTTGAAACTAGCACTTGTTGGTTAATTGAAATCATACAGAAACGAATTAAAACTAAATCTTTTTTGGTGTTGTTTAGACCAGGGTTATTG